CTTATTATCTGCTACATTGTCAAGTCTTACTTCCTTGTATGGCCACCTAAACGGTACACGAGAACAGGAACCGCCCACACAATACGTGCGGCTTTACGACAAACGCCGGGAAGATTAGGGCTTAGGATCAAGTTGAGGGTTAGGTTTTGAGCTAGGTACAACGTTAGGGTTAAAATCAGAGTCGGGGTTAGAGTAAGGCTAAGGGCTAGAGTTAACTGTAGAGTTTAGGTTTAGGGTAGGGTTCAGGTTAAAGTTAAAATTGAGTTTTATGTTACGGGTATATTTCCCCTTAATGAAATACATCGAAAGACCGTTTGGGGTCTAACTCGCGCTAGATTTCGAAATTTGCGAATTGTGGATAATTACTCACAGACCGGCATTAACGAAACCTTTAAGCGAATTTGTAAATTTCAAATAAATTTAAAAGCTGATTGTTTGTTTAAAAAAAATTTTTAAGGAAGTGGCCTCAAGTTCCGAAAACATGAAAAATCGCAATACATTTGACTAATGCCCACGGGAAATCGTAATCGTACCATTTTCTTTATATAAAGGCGTTTCCTTTCGTTGACTTTCTTCATACATATTTTTTGGGGTATTCGATTACAATTAGTTTCAGACTGTCCTTTGTGCATATATGCGTTTTTGAAATATGGACATCCCAAGATCTTAAATTATGAATTATTAAATTAAATTAACTTATGAAGCCTATGCCAATCGGCACACATGTTAGATGAGTATTGATTTTTCTGAACGTTTAAAAATGTTAGTTGTTTGTTACACACTTTCTCACGTCTGAAGACGACGAGGGGATCCTGCGTCGAAAATTTACATAATAAAATTCAAATTTTTCCAAAAAAACCATTTATCTTAATATGCATTTTTGTATAACGTCCCAAATTTCCAGTGCGATAAAACAAACTAAGGTCAAATCTTTTTTGCGGCTTTTTATGTGGCAAAAAATCTGACATTGGCACAAAAATAATTTTTGAAGCTGAAATGTGTCCCCGGTTCTGAAGAACAATGTGATTCTTTAAACTTAAACCTGATTTTCATAAACATAAGACTAGATTTTCCGGTTCTGAAAGGGATATATTTTACGCCTTTCTTGCTTACATGGCTGCTCTCCGATAGTGAAACGCACAAAAACAAAAACCGTTTGGTTCTATCATGGGAAATTCCTTCGATGTTCGGTAGCCTCCGATTTCGCCACAATTCCGCCTGCGTCCCCTAATTAACCCGAACTAAACAGGCAGTTATCCTTAATGAAAAGGATTTCTTCTGATTAAATTCACTCATCAGATCAAAATAACTCCACCAAATGTGCGCTAAACTACCAACCCCACTTTCGACGATGACTTTGCATAAGTTAGGTCCCCCCACTGCACTTCTCTACGAAGTTCATCTTTGTTGAATAACTTGCCTATACCGGCCATTTGATTCAGCGATAGTACATCGCGGAGGCGTTCTTGGTTTCTAATGGGTCTGTAGGGTTCTAAGTACTTGTGAGAATCTTCGGGCCCAGCGCCGCTGCGTTGACTCATGTTGTCTTCGGTCGCCAGCCCTTGCACGCTGCGCGCTCTTGTCCTTTCGCACGTTCGCTGTTGATTCGCCGCGCGTACGCTCGAAGCTAATCCCACTTCATTTGATTGGTCGCAGGCGACAGAGCATTCATCCCGCAGTCAAGGTCTCACAACAGGCACAACTTCACGGAAACACCTGGCGTGCAGACATAGCTACTACATTTTAAGTGAGCGGCGGGGCGTTCCTATTCCAGTATTCTGCTTAGGCGGCCATCCCTCCTGTATTGCCAAGAGCTTTGCTGAAGGATGCCAAACTGTCGAGGCGATCGATAAGCGCATTCAGCGCCGAATCTCCTCATCCTCCTACCATCATTTCACAGAAAACGCAGTACCCATTGGCATCATCGTGAAATTGGAATGCTTAGCAGTTGTTGAAGTCTGCCGCGTGTAACTCCTGCCATACTATATCAGTCCAATTACGTAGGTGACAAGAAACTGACCCAAAAAGGTTTTTAGACCGCGAGAGATTGGAATGCTAATTTATGGTAGAAAGTAAAGCAAGCGTACATAGCAGGGATTTATTTGTACAAACAAATTTCGGGACAGTTTTTCGACTGCTTCCTGTCTTTGCATGAATTAGATAACAAATGGAGAAGACAGCAGTTTAAATTTACGCAGAATCGCCACACAACAGCAAGGCCTTTTTCTAGTGCGGGAATTAGTGTGGCCTTTAAACTTGGGATACAGGATAGAAAAGTGGGGACGGGAATTAACAAAAATCAAAGATTGATTAAATGCAGGCGTGCGATTACCAGGGCAGTTGGAAATTAGCCACATGATCTAACTGCTCGTATAGGTCTGGTTTCTCCCGTCGTATATAGGCTGCTTCCATGTAGCGCAAGGTCCGATTTGTTCGTGCTCGAACAGGAACTCGCACATATGTTGAGGTCAACAGAGTGACCACTGTCTAGCAGTTATTCTGCAATGGAGGACCGTGGCACTTTGTTTTCTTGTTTAAAAAGCCACTCAGCGGCCCTGTTCGTTAATTGCCTTTGCCTACGCCCAATTTACTTGCATCCACAAGTGCACGTGAATCTGTAGACGCAGTTTGGGGGTGGCGTGCAAAGGCAAGGCATCCTTTGTCCGGTTAATTGGAAGGCTTTTGGTGGGAGCGTGGAACACTAGTTCAACTGCATTGTACGTCCTCTCTATGGTGCAACGTAGCCGTCGCTTAATTGTATTCGAGATATTGTCACCCTAAAAGGGTAAAGATATAAATTATGGTAAAATCCTTATTTGATTGGTTGTTTTCTACTACTACCGCCTATGGGGGATCTCGCTCAGAGTTGGATTG